TTTCCAAGTGCTTCTCTTTGCACAAAAAAGCAAATTTTAAAAAGTGTAACGAAAGTATCGGAATGTGTTGTTAGTGGACTTTCAAATCCCCAAGTAATAACAGTGATATTATTTTCTTACTTGCGTGAACTGGCACATTGGTCCTATAAATTTTTAAGTACGGGCACCGTGGGTAGCTGATATATTATGAGTGGTTTGCGGATGCTCTGGTGTTGTTGGCTCCTTATTTCCTATCAAAATGTATCTCCCTTATCTCTCTTGCTTTTTATTTGTGTTTTTTAAATACGTTTTTGTTTCACCTCTTATATTCAGCACTTATGTTATGAACCAATCGTGTTGACGTAAAAGTGCTGTATTTAAAAAAAATTAAAACACAGCAAAACAAAGCAAAACAAAAACTAATTTAAACAAACAAATAGCTGATCCAACGCCAGAGTCTGAACTTTTACAGCATCATGAATTTATAATGATATTTTTGGTCTTGGTCGATTTCGTGGCTTCCCAGAGTATTTCAACTTCTAGATCTAGATGAGATAAAACGACGAACGAAAAAAAAAATATTGTAAAAACGCAACTATGCGCAAAAGGAGAGTCAAAGATTTATTCCGACTTTGGAGTTACAAAAATGAAAAGAAGAGTCTTTCTTAAGGAGTCTTACGCGTGCCATTTTTAACTTGGAATGGTTATTTTGCGTAGATATAATTGCAAGCGACAGTCATAATTTTATTACTTTGTATAAAATGTTCTTTCCCGCGTGGCTTGATTTTGATGGATATGTCTTTCCTGTTTTGACGGCATTTGATACGTGTTTTTATGTTTATTGCTGTTGCTCTTGTTGTTGTTGTTGTTGTGATCTTGTTGCAGTCACATTTTTCATCTTTGGTACTATTGTGACCTATTTGTGTTACAAATGCCGTAAAACTCTTTAAAATAAACTGAACTGCTCCTTTGGCCCAGTGATGATTCTTATTATTTAAGAGGTGGGGCCTCTAATGACTAGTTTAAGAAGTTTGGGGATTTGAAGTGAAACTGTCTAGCCTACTAGTCGCTGCATCAGAATTACAAAGTTCTAACTGCTCAGTACCTAGTTTTGAGAAATTTGACGTCAAAGATTTAGAGTTTCACATCATGTCAAGCTTTTTCGAATACCGTTCTTTGAATATCTTGATAACGACTCCGAATAATCTCACGATTCTGAGATATAACATTTATTGGTTTCTGACCTCTTGGTCCTTAATAACTCCAAACGGCCAAAACTGTCAGAGAGAACTTTGTAAATTCTGAATTGGCGTAATGTTTGTGGAGTAGCAGTTTTGGCATTTCACCGTCGCACACAGAATAACTTTTAGTTTTAGTTTTAGTAGAAGTTTTACGGCGCTCGCAACTGCATAAGGTCGTATGAGCGCCAGAAAATAAGACCTGTTACAAGAGAGTAACAAACATAAAAAAAGAAGAAGGGGAGATAAGGACGATAGATGTTTGACAGGAAAGAAGAAGCAAACCACACCAGAGCACCCGTCAACCACCCACTCAGAATAACTTGGTTTGATTCTCATGTAAGGATAATTTTTATCGTGTATCTCGGTTTTTTCTGCAAGGACGTTACATCTATATCGTCCGGGTTGGCCACTACCGGCAGGATCGAAAAATGCCTTCTAAAAAGTCTAGATTGTGTGGATGGTTTCATAAAAGCACGTTCATTAAGAAGAAACACAAACAAACAAACAAACAAACAAACAAAACGGCTAGCAGCAGATACCGGGTGGTTAGAGGTCGCTGATGATGATCTGTGCTTCTTTTGTTTCTCTCTTTAATTTCTGAGAGTAATTGGCGAATGTTCTGATGTGGTTTGCTCCTCTTCTTTCCTATCAAACGTCTATCGCCCCTCTCTTCGCTTTCTTTTGTGTGTGTGTGCGTGTGTGTGTGTG